GTGTGTATGTGCGTGTATGTCTGTGTGTATATGCATACATGTATGTATGCGTGTGTATGTATGTGTGTATGTATGCGTGTATGCTTTGTGGTATAGATGTACACCTGCATGTATGTTCGTATGTAATGCAACAATGTATGTATGTATGCATGTATGCATACATGCAGGTATGTATGCAGACATGTGTGTATACAGGTTCATGTGCATGCATGCACATATGTAAGTGTTTTAGGTACTAAGACATGTGTGTATGTATGTATGTGTTCATGCTTGCATACATACATGTATGCACGCATGTACCTCTTTCAGGCATATGTATATATATACACATATATATACATATATGTGTATATGTACGTGTATGTATGTTTGTATACCTAGCATGTGTGTGTATGTATGTATGTGTGCATGTATGTATGTATGTATGTATGTATATATATATATATATGTGTGCACGCCCAGGAATCCGCAAACATGATTTTCCAATCTGCGGCCCCAGAGGTCCAGGGATGGTTTCTCATCCCATATTCTTTTGATTGATGGTCCCCAGGCCCGATAACGAGACCCAGAAGTCGACACGTCTCCTCGGACCTCTGGGCACATCCTCCCCCTCCTCCTCCTCGCCCTCCTCCTCCTCCTGCTCCTCCTCCTTCTCCTCCTCCTCCTCCCTTTCCTCCGTCTCCTCCTCCTCCTCCTCCTCCTCCTCCTCCTCCTTCTCCTCCTCCCCCCCCCCCTCCTGCTCCTCTTCCTCCTCCTCCTCCTCTCCTCCTCACTCCTCTTCTCCTCCTCCTCCTCCTCCTCCTCCTCCGCCTCCTCCTCCTCCTGTTTCCTCCTCCTCCTCCTCCCTCCTTCCGCCTCCGCCTCCGCCGTCTCCTCCCGCCTCCGCCTCCGCCTCCGCCTCCGCCTCCTCCTCCTCCTCCTCCTCCTCCACCTCCTCCTCCTCCACAATTACTCAATATGAATACTGCTCTCCTCCTTCCCTGATGACGTGCTGGGAGTGTTCGCCCCCCCCTGCGTCCTGTTTTTAAAATACAGGATCCCCGGGAGTTGGGGTTTTCGCCTGCATTTTTTGTTTCTTCCAAAAAGCTGCTCTCGCTGAGGCGCCGGCCTCTTTTTCGGGCCCCGCTCGTTCCGAATCGTGCTCCAGCTGCAGCGTGGGTCTCATTCTCGGATCGGTGTTTTCCTCGTCCCTCTCCTCCTCCTCCTACTCCTCCTCCTCCTCCCTCCTCCTCCTCCTCCACCTCCTCCTCCTCCTCCTCCTCCTCCTCCTCCTCCTCCCTCCTGCTCCCTCTTCCGGCTCCTCCTCCGCCCTCCTCCTTCTTCAATCTCCTCCTCCGCCTCCCTCCTCCCCTCCGCTCTCCTCCTTCTTCCGCCGCCTCCTCCTCCTTCTCCTCCTCCCCCCTCCTCCTCCTCCTCCTCTCCTTCTCCTCCTCCTCCTCCTCCTCCTCCGCCTCCTCCTCCTCCTCCTCCCTCTCCTCCTCCTCCTCCTCTCCTCTCCCCCCCTCCCTCCTGCTCATCTCCTCCTCCTCCTCTTCCTACTCCTTTACTCCGCCTCCTCCTCCTCTCTCCTCCTCCTTTTCCCCCCTCCTCCTCCTCCTCCTCCTCGCCTTCCTCTGCTGCTTCAACTCCCCCTCCTCCTCCGGTCTCTCCTACCCGTCTCCTCTCCTCATCCTCCCCTCCCCCTCCCCCCCCTCCTCCTCCCCCTCCTCCTCCTCCTCCTCCTCCTCCTCCTCCTCCTCCTCCTCCTCCTCCTCCTCCTCCTCCTGCTCCTCCTCGATGTTCGGGTCCCCCAGGTGCGCGCCGCTGGGTGGGCAGGGAGCTGCGCACGCCGCGCTTCGGCGCCCACGACCTGGACGCGGGGCTGTCCTCGTGGCGGCGGCTGCGGGAGGCTCGGGGGCAACGATCGGGGAGGAGGAGGAGGAGGAGGAAGAGAAGGAGGAGGGGCATAGGCATACAGTCGGCCCGGATTAGTAGGTCGACCCTGCCAGCTCAAGGGTACCCTCGTGTCCTTCGGGGGCGGCAAAGAGGGGAGTGATGACTAGGGGTGGGGATATCATGGCGGGGGCCATGCTATCTCCCCAGATCTCAGGGGCCTCTTCTTGATTCATTACGTCCCTGACCCCCCCCTGGGCGGCGGCGCACATGCCGCCGGTCATGATTTGCACCCCCCCCTCGTGGACACCCCCCTCTTTGCCGCTCCCGATAGCTCAAGGGTACCCGTGTGCCCTGTGCCTCGCGACGCGTGCCTTCTTACCCTCCTGTGGCGACGTGGCCCTCGGAAGGGTCCTGTGTCCTCTCGCGTGTCCTGTCCAATCAAGGCCGACTGCAGGCATGCGGGGGATGCATCGAGCCCCAACCGCCCACCCATCGCCGACAGGGGCCCGATAGCCCCCACCCCGCCCAGAGACGTGCGGGCTCACTCTCGGGGGCCCATCGCCGAGCTATCGACGATGTATCGCCGATTCCATGCCGATGCATCCCCCCCCTGTGCCTGACCCCCCCCCCCCCGCGTTGCCCCTCAAGAGGCGCGGGCGCGCCTTAAGGCCGGGGAGGCGGAGCACGCGGCTAGCGCCGCGTGGCGGAGGTTGCGCGAGGTGTACCTCGACATCTGGGCCGAGGCTCGGGGAACTAATCCTCCTCCTCCTCCTATCCTCCTCCCTCCTTCTCCTCCTCGTCCTCCTCCTCCTCCCCCTCCTCTTCCTCTCCTATCCCTCCTCCTCCTCCTCCGCCTCCTCTCCTCCTCCTCCTCCTTCTCCCTCTCCTCCTCCTCCTCCTCCTCCTCAAGTACAGTCCCAGTATTGGCCTGCCTGCACGTCAGGCAGGAGCGCGTGGGACTAAACAACCAAAGCAGGGCGGAGGCTTTTTTTTCGTCGTGCTCGGCCTCCGGGGGCCCTCGCTGGGTCCTGCGGGGAAAAACGACTGCAGGATGAAAAGCGGGTCCTGGAGAAAGGGTCGGTGCTTCGGGGTACCGCGCATTGAGAAAGTAAATATGGTACCCGTGTGTATATATATACACATGTTTATGCACATATGTATTTGTATATCCATACATATATATGTATATATATATATATATGTATATGTGTATATACAAGTGGCACGTGTGTGCTCAGGCTCATGCACAAAACTGAAAGGGCGTTTGAAGCAGGAAGACACATGACTGCAGGATCGGAGATGGAGAAGGGGAAGCTGGGGCGACGCCGCCAGGGCGTGCCTGAGAGAAGGGGAAGAGGCAGGAGGTGAACGCAGAAGAATCTAAGATCGAGGTCGCACTCGAGTGCAAGTGGGGTTACCACAACTTGCGATGTGTGTACCAGGGCCCCCCAGGAAACCTCAGGAGGCCCGACTTGGATACCGGAATAGGCTCCAGGAGGCCCCGGGATTGTGAGGATTGAGTGTGTGTGATGTGTGCTCTGTGTTGTGCGTGTTTTCTGTGCGTTGTAGGTGTTGTGTGCGTGTGTGTGTGTGTGTGTTATGTTTGTCTAGCGTGTGATGTGTTGGGTGTGATTTGTGTCTGTGTGTGTGTGTGCATGTAGTTCTGAGGCCCCAGGAAGCCCCAGGAGGCCCCAGGAGGCCTCAGGAGGCCCCAGACCCCAGAGGGCTCCAGGATGCCCCAAGAGGCTCCAGGAGGCCGCAGGAGGCCCCAGGAGGTTCCAGGAGACCCCCAGGAGACTCCGAGACGGGGTCTGGGGTACCAGAAGGTACAGAAAGCCCCAGGAGGCCCCAGGAGGTTCCAGGAGGCTCCCAAGAGGCTCCGAGGTCTGGGGTGCCAGAAGGTACGTCGGGGTTCAATTTTGGGAGGATGTCCCAGGCGAAATCGCCATTCTTTGAGAATCGGGGTCAAGATCGTTGAACTTACAATGTGTTTTTGAAGGCTTTATGTTCGAATGTGGAAATTCCCATGTGTTTTTGGACCCTGACGTCACGATCTGCGTGAGGGGTGCCACCGATGTTCAGAATTTTGAGGATGTCCTTAGCGAAACGGCCAGACAAATCGCGAACGCCGCCTTCAATTAATCGGCTTTGAGCTCTACTCCCTCGGAGAGGTGCGTATGAGAATATGTATATATATACACACACACACCCTTCCCTCGTTTCCCCCTTCTCGTTGGGCCTCCTGGAAGGTCTTCGTCGCCGCCGCTGGCCGTGCCTCGAAAGCCTGGTCGAAGCGCACCCCGGGAGAGGCCGTGGGAGCAGCGGGACCCAGAGATCCGACGTCGTGATTTTTTCTATACGGGGTCCCCGTAAGTCTAGATCCATCCCTCCCCTTCCTCCTCCTTCCCTTCCTCCTCCTCCACATCCCCCTCCTCCTCCCCCTCCTCCTCCTCCTCCTCCTCCTCCTCCTCCTCCTCCGTCTCCTCCTCCTCCATCCCCCAGGACCGGGTTCTCATCCCGAGTCGTGTTTTGGCGGTCCCGCGGCCCGGGAGGGGCCAGAAGTCGCGAAGCACCTCCGTCTGTGAGGTGTGTCAGTGCCTGGGATCTTCGGGTGTGGGTCCTTTGGTTGCTGGTTTCCCGTGCGAGAGGCACCGCGCTGGGGGGGGGGCGCTCTCGACGTTTCGTCGCTTCTCGGCCTCGGGAAGCCGCCTTCTGCGGCTGCTCCTCGCGCCCCTGGGGCGCTCCGAGGGCGCCTGGATCGCCCCCGACGCGGCCCTTGGAGAGCCGAGTTGAAACCAGGCATCGCTCGGACGTGTGCATTGTTTTCCCCGGCGAAAGCCCTGGATGAGCATCCTGGATCATCGAGCGAACAAAAAACACGCACGAAACCGACAAATGCACAGGGAATGGACGTCCGAGCGATGGCAAGGAAAGAGGGGGCGGACGAGTAGAAGCAGCCACGCGTAGAGGGGGGGGTCAGGGGGGAGGGTTTGTTAGGAGCACCCCTTCTCCTTATATAAGGCGCGGGCCTGCTCTGCAGAGGTAGGGCTGGCGCCTTCTAAGGAGCAGGCCTCCCTCTGAGAAGCCCTCCCCCCTCCCTCCAGCCCCTTGTGCGCGCCGCCAGTAGAAGCAGAGGAGGAGCACGCTTCGATGATCATTGAGGAAAAAGTGCCCGTACCTCTGCGGTAGAGGTACGGGTACCTTTCCCCAAGTATGGGTGGAGCCTCTACCGTTCGCTCGTTTTTTCCCCCAAAAGGGGGAAAGGAGGATGATGATGATGATGATGATGATGATGATGATGATGATGATGATGATGATGATGATGATGATGCTGATGATGATGATGATGATGCTG